ATTATTTGTGTATGTGTTTGGTTTTATTCTATTTTTACTGTATTTTTATATTGTTCTTATTCTATTTTAATTAATATTTATTGTTATGTTATTGTGAACCACCCAGAGTCACTTTTTCATGAGATGGGCGGTATCTAAATTTGAAATATAAATAAATATAAATATAGATAAATCCTATGCATAGTGATGTCTTGCTTCTGGACTTCCCCCTTTGCAAGTTTTGTAATTAAAAGCATTGATATACAAATAAGCTATTTGAACAGGCATCAGGAACATTATTTCTTCTTATGCCTTAAAAGTTTCACAGTCTCAGTATTACCTGCCACTCTCAGTCCCCCTTATCTGCATATCCTTAAAAAACTAAAGTCTCCTTTGAATCAAGCTTAACACCTGGCAACTTCATGGACCCACCCATGTAACTTTCTCGACAGTGATGTAAAAGTGGTTTGTAATTGCCTGTAGTTAATCACATACTAACAGAGTCCAACTTGTTTAGATTGTGAAGTTTTCCTTTCAACCCTTATCCTATCTATTAAATTAGAAGGCAACTAGGCAGATCCAAAGCAGCACAATATATCCAGGCATTCTCCTGGTCAAGGCCATTGAAAAGACTGCAGATTGCCTGAGTATAAGTGTTCCTACAAAGTTTTCATTCATTTAATGTCCAAGGAAACATCTCAATGGTTTCTCTCTCTCTCCTATTTTTTCCTGACTGACTATCCCTATATTATAGAGACAACATAGGAACTGACCATAGCAACTCATGACTCAGGCACCTAAAAAAGCATTCAGTGGATCTGCAAATCTTGTGCAATTTTAAAATTATTACTAGGCAATTCCAAATAAAGTGATTGGTTTTCTGAGCTACATGAAAAGACTGATCTAGCTCAGTATTTTGCTAGGTGCAGTAGACAAACATATACCTCCAAAGCTCACAAGCAGAGCATAAAAATAGCAACACTTTCTTGTTGTTTGTTCTCAGTGTTTGTTATTCAATAAACTGTGTCTAAGATTTAGAGGTTCTACTTCAGTATTCTGTGTTAGATACATTGATGAAGACTATCCTCCATGAGATTCAGCATTTTTTGTGTCTAGATTAGGATGTACACAGAGTCTGTAGGCAATTCTTGTGGCTATAATATATCACTGCACTGCAACTAAAGCCTATGACTCAAACTGAGTTTCTAACAAAGCTATCAATAATTGGAAACATTATTTTGACAGGAGAGTTGAATCAAAGAAGAATATCTCTGGAAGACCACAGCTTCAGAATGCAATCTTTCATAATAGATGGAAATCACAATTTGAAGAGAAAATAAAGGAGCTAGAACAGGTTTGTAAAACCAATCTAGATCGACAAGCATTGAAAGAGTTAAATTTAAACAATTAGATTTATTGGAAACAGTAGAATTTCAACAGAATATGCCAAACAAAATCATGCTGAAAATGCAGATAAACCAGGGAAACTTCTGACTTATCAAAACAGAAAAGAGAAAGAAAGAAGGATGTTAACAGCAATAGAGAAAGATAATAAATTATTATATACAAGATAAAAAATAGCAGAAGAATTTGCAAAAAAAATTAAGGAATTATATTCAAGGCAAAAAATTGACAAAGGAAATTTGGAAACATATATTGAAAACTCAGAGCCTAAACATTTACAGAAGAACATAGAGAAATCTTATGGGAAGTAATGACAATTTAAGATATTAAAGAAGCAATAAAGAAAATTAATAAAGCACCAGGCCCAGATGGGTTGATGGCCCTATTGCATAAAAAGCTAGAAGAGGAACAAGTGGAACAATTATTGAAGATGATGAAATTCAAATAACAAAAACAATACCAAAGACCTGGGAAGAGACATATATAACATTAATACACAAAGAAGGGAATGATCCCAGGAAAGCTAATCTAGATAAACATTGGCCCAACTCTTTCAGATAATCTACTTTTTTCCATCCTACCTGCTGCTCTGCAAGTCTCCTCTGTATTTCTTGATCATCACAGATGTCATAAACAATAGGTTTAGAAAGCTCAGATTCAATGCGTGCCAGCCAGGTGTGAAGATGACTCATGTTTTTGTCCAGCTGTTGTATGAAAGCAAAGGTCTCCTTCAACTTCTTCACTCTGATATGAGAAATGCATACATATTAAAGAAAAGCATAAAATATGTAAGAAAGTGTGTCTGTATATGTGTGTATAGTTGTGATATGTCAGTTTTGATTTCATTTAGTTGATTTTAAATAGACATCCAGCTCTCTATGTATTGAATGCAGCAACTTACTCCAAGCTGATGTCTTGTAGATATTTTGGAGTACTACTCCAATCATCCCAAGCAACATTTGGGGAAAGCTGAAATACATCCCAATCAGGTTTGGGGAAGCTAGCATACAATCAAATGTATTGCTTGACTGCTGACTCTTCTTTTAGAGCAAAGGAGAACTGTAATGTTTGAAAGGGATCAAACAGCTATTTTGTACAAATATATTCATTTCTGAATCAGGTGTCTCTTTAGCATAGGGGTGTTTACCTTGGAAGTACTCTATTACATCTGACAGACCCAGACATTTTGCTTCCAGTATGAGAATTCAGAAGCTTCAGTTTGCAGCAAAATTCTAGGGTGAAATAGGATCCTGGCTATTAATCACACATCTTGATATCCCTAAGTAATAGTTGTTGGAGGAACCTATTAGTCTCTTGATCATCATCTTGTTCTACTCTGCAATTTTTCCAATTTCCCTGAATATTTTAAAAGTGATATTCCCAGAACCATATTCTTTTCTTCCCCTATATCAATTGTCTATCTTTCAAAATCTGCTCCAGAGGATTGGGAATTTTCCTGAGAAGATTCTGGAGATACAGGGCATGGGAGGGAAAGAAGGGAGAAACTTCCATCAGGAAACTTGCATGTCTGCTCATGACAGAATGATTTTTGTCTTAAAATCTGTCTTTTTATTTTAATGGGATGATATGGTTTAAAAAGTCAAGCAAACATGCTTTATATATTTCAATCTAAATATCGTTCTGAACAGTGAAGTTGTTATACTATACTATATACAAGTTGAATTTGATAAGTCTCCTGAGTAATTAGAGCGCTATTGTTAATTACATACTACTGGCTGCAATTATCTCAGTGTTGTTAATCAGATCAAACCATGATTTGGAGCTGTCATCTCTCCAGAGTTATATCAATATGGAATATGGCAGAAAATACAAAACAAGATCAAAGGACCTGGAACATTGGAAAGCATCTGATGCGAACCTGATAAAGGCCGAACTAGTATACTCTAAATAGGAGGAAGATTTAGTATGTCTCCACAGTGACTTCATGAGCAACATGCAACTACAAGCCTTTGTGTGAATGGATTCCACAATGAACACTCACGCCTGATTTAGTGAACAGAGCCAGTGCTTGCCGGAGGGTGGGGTGGGGACGTGGGATGCAGAACTGTCATGCTATCTATTCATTTACTCATAACATGGCAGGTACTAATCTTTTTCGACAATGACAAGGAAAGCAAAGAGTTGATTTCAACAAAGAGGGATAAGCCCCTGGATGCTATTTATTGGCTTGCAATCCCCCCGCCAACCTTTTGTCCAATCCTCCCTCCACGGACCGCACACACATAGCCACCCGTTCTGGCAAGCGCTGGGCCCATCCCCCAGACTGCTGTAGCACACAGACAAGGCTCCTGCCGCATTGTACAACTGTATTCTCACCAGACCCTTGACGACCACAAATGCACTTACTGTTTATAAGGGAAAAGCATTCCTCAGCTTATCAGTCCAAAGCTGCAAGGACAGCATCTGAGACTGAGCCGAGCACTGGAGGAAGAGGAAACCCCTCCTCCTTGGATGCCCTATTTAATATCACTGCCTTAACATCTCTCCCACATAGAAAGAAAGAAAAGTGTTGCGGGGGGTGGGGGGGTCAGACCTTTCCTGTTCTCCTCCTCTAAGCCCTAACTAGAGAGAGTGTGGTATGTATACGTGTGCACACACATACACACACACAAGCCCATGATAAATAATGCTGCTAAAAATCAAATGCTGCCTTTCAAGAGATGAAGTGCAGAAAAGGGACCAATTATTTCTCTTGAAAAAAGAACATTCTGTTTTTTGCTCGCAGGTGATTTTTAGGACCACAGTAACCATAATGCTCAGTGTGCAAATGGTACTCAGATGGCAGATATGTACCAAATACCTTTCCTTTCCATTCTCTAGTATAGTGTTTCTCAACCTTGGGAACTTTAAGATGGGGTGGACTCCAAACCCCCCAAAACCCCCGCACCCCCTCCGGGCGGGGGGGGATTTGGGGGTGAGTGTAACCACC